CGGTCTTTGTTTGCAAGCTTTGTCGTTTGCTTGGGTATGCAGGGCAACGAGTTGGAGAGGCCTCCCATCCAGGGCCTGATCTTGGTGATGGCCAATTGGCTATGTTGATTAGCCTGGTGCAGTTGCTCATTCAGATGGTGGCTAAGCTTTCGAATGCGAGTGAGATCCAGAGCATCGTTGCGCAGGCTGATGCTACTGTGCAGGGCCTCAGTGCTTCCACTCAGGGGGGGGCGGAGAATGTGCGGCAAGTGCGTGTTGAAGAGCCGGAGGGTGAGTGGACTCAGGTGAGGAAAAAGAAGCGGGGGAAAGGCAAAGGAGATGATACTGCGCAGTCAGCCCCCTTAGCTGATGCTGCGCCTCGAAATGGCAAGAAGGGCGGGAAGGAGAAGCCTGAGAAAGTTGGCAAAGCGCGTCCTTGCGATGCAGCCAATGGTCCTCGCTCAGAGGGCAAGAAGGGTCAGGGCAAGGGTGAAGGGGTGGGTGAGCGCAGGGCGTTTGAGCGCCCTGAGCTCAAGCATGATGAGTGGGAGCTTCGGCAGGAGGACTGGCATGCTACGCTAGTTACCTCGGAGCAGCTCGAGGATTACAACAAGGCGGGTGAATCGCTACTTGTCTTGGCAAAAAACCGTGAGGAGGCTGAGGTCCTCCAGGTTTTGGCCAGTGGGCGCAGCTTCAAGAGCTCGCTGCTTGTGGTCTATCGCCATGATGAAGGCTCTCTGTCGATGCCATTTTGGCAGAAGGGGCGTGCGGCTTTGCATCGCGTTGCGATCTTGAAGTTCCAGGTCAATGGTGTTGCGTTGGCCACCCTCAAGGGTGAGAGGAAGGTCGTCAGTATTAAGGCGGTCCCCACCACGGTGCTGCGCCTTGCGCTGATTCAACAGCTTGCGTCAGCGGCTGACTGGGCTGCTGCCACCAAGAACCTTAGGAGCTTTGCCATGACCAGGGCTGCTGCGGTCAAAGACCTCTGGGGTGGAGCTGTGGAGCAGAAGCGCGGAGCCACTTTAGTGGCATTGGTGCGTGTGCCTGACGACCAAGTTCAGGCACTCTTGCAGAAGAGTGGCGTTGGCGGTCTTTTCTGGGAGCCTTTGCAGCGCAGTGTTGCGGGGGTCAACTTGGGCGTGCGATGGATTGATGCCAATGAAGGGGAGAACGAGGTTGACTACTTCCAGCGATGCTTGCTCATGAAGCCGGCCTGGGGCTTGGTGGCTGGTCGCAAGCAAATTGGCATACGAGTTGACCGCTCAACGGAACTTGTCATCAGATCGTGGAGACTCCCCAACCTGCCGCACGAGTGGACGCAGGATGACGTGATGAAGGTGGTTCAGGAAGCTGGGCTTGAGCAGGTTACCGTCACTGGTCGTCTTACCAGAAAAGGCACCGCCACCTGGTTCGTGCGTGGGGCGGCCTCGCTGGATGTACTAGCCATTCCCGTTGAGCAGGGTTCTCCGCCAAAGCAGACGTTGTACTACTTGCTTCCGGCTACTCCGAGTGCGAGGGGGCCGTCTGCGAGACAGCCGCTGCCGCGGCAAACGCCTGTTGCGGTTGAGACCAACCAGTTCAAAGTGGTGCAGAAGCCGCTGGCTGGTGAGCAGGAGACTGGCGAGGGCAGACCTGAGGGTGATGCCAAACGTCAAGCGATTGGTTTGAGAGAGGTGCCTGATGGCACTAAGCTCATTCAGATCCAGCGTGATGGCAATTGCTTGCCAGGATGTGTGGCCCAAGCTGTGGCGTGGCACAAGAATGCCAGCCGACCGATGCCCACGAGCCGCATGAGAGCTGAGGTTGTAGCCTACATGAGGAGGAAGCAAGCGCATTTTGCTCCCTTCTGGGATAAGAGAGATACGAATGATGATGAAGGAGGCGTGCCTGACTTTGAGTCCTACCTGAAAGAGGCTGCAATGGAAGGAAAGTACTGGGGCCATCTGGAGATTATGGCAGCTGCCGATCTCTTCAGCTTGGCGGTGTACATCATTCCTGCAGAGGCCTCCTTGACGCCGACTAAGGTTGGAACTGGCAATTTTCCTGTTGCTCTCTCCTTTGAGCGTGGCACGGGGAAGATCGGCCACTATGACTTGCTGGTGCCTGCCCTCGATGGTGGGCCCTTGCCAGCGGTGATCACGAACATCCAGGAGATCGGTGACACTAAGGGCGGTCGAGGTGGAGGAGTCCGGGACCGCCCGAATGACACTGCTGAGGGCTCTGATGCGGCGTGGACCGTGTATACTCGCAATGCTGAAGGATTTCATGTGCCGGTTGGAAGAGTAAGCGGCGCTGTTGTTCCTCCGCCTGCGCCCGTGAGGCCATCGGCGAGCGCGGCTGGGGACGGCAGCAGCCGAAGGGGCGCACCGAGCGCTGCCACTGGTGGCGCAGCAAGCTGTTCGCTGGTTGCAGCTTTTGCACGGGGAGCGAGGAGGTGTGAGCTTTCGCGAGACAGCTCCAGGTGCAGCAATGACGCTGAGGATGATGTGGCGGTTTTGGCTGATGTGGAGGGCATTGATACGGAGCCTGCCGAACCGAAGCGAAGGAAGAAGCGCAAAATCTGGGAGTGGACATGTCCTGTCCCTGACTGTGGCTTCACGTGCGGAGGCTCCTTTTGGTCTTTCCGCAAGAACAAGCACATTCGAGCGTGGCATCCTGAGCGCATGAAGGAGCTCAATCTTCGTGGCGTCATAGATGAGCCGATCGAGGTGCGTGATGACGCTGTTGTCACTTGGAGGTGCCCTGTGTGCCTCAAGGCTTTCCCCGCAGAGTGGAACTTGACTGGGGACAAGCTGCGGCAGTGGAAGCTCGCGCATGGAGCACGGGCGCATCCTGAGGAGAACATCGCCATCTTCAAGAGGAGAGTCGCTCGGCCCTGCAATGCGCCCAAGGCCACCCAAGCCGTGCGAGCGAAAGGGGTCTCGTCGCGGCTTTCTCAGATCAAGCGTGGCATTGGTGGACACAGTGGACTCTTCACGATTGATGTGCCAGCAACACAGCCTGGGCGGCGTAGCGCCGCGTATTTTGTTTGCCGCCATTGTAAGTGCCTCGCGCATACTGCCAAGCTCCTGGCCAAGATGCCCTGTGAGGCGGTCGTGGGCATGTCGCAGCAGCGCCAGGCCTTGATTCAGCGACTGGCCAAGCAGAAAGAAGATGCGACGCTGGATGAGCGACTTCGAAGTGGTGCGGCTGAGCTTGTCAACTTCCTCACTGCTGGAGCGGGCGAGGGTGAGGCCTCGAAGCAGCACATCGCCCGAGATCATGAGCTCGAGGCCATCCCATGGCCGATGGAGGACAAGTCTTTTGAAGTGCGCTTTGTGTGTGTTGCCTGCCGCCGGTTGGCAGGCAACGAGCGGGGCTTTCCCAAGGGCACTTGCAAGGGCGAGAAGGCTTTCGCGAAGTATCGCCAGCGATGGCTTCGGGAGCTGGAGCCCTGGCTGAAGGATGATGGGCCTCGCGGGCGTGCTGCGCGGCAGGCCAAGTCCAAGCTTGGCATCTTGGATGAGCCGAGTCCGCCTGAGCTTCCCCGAGGACTGATTGGTGGCGGCGAGGAGCGAGCAGCATGAAGTCTGCTCGGGCTTTGAGGGTGGGCACAGTGAACGTGCGAACAATGATGGGGCGCGCAGCCGAGGTTTTGCGCTTGGCTGTTGAGTGGGAGATTGGGATCCTGCTTGTTCAGGAGGCTCGTCTACCGCGAGATTCGTTTGGAGCCTTAAGAAACTTGGCGACCAAATTTGGGTGGCATCTTGTGATTCATGAGCAAGGGCTGGCGCCCAGTGGCGCTGCGCAGTGGGGATGCATCACGCTGGCTAGGTGGCCGGTGGAGCCGCTTCCGAAGCCACAGTGGTTGCCGGATGGGCGTGGTGGGGTGATGCGAGTTTGGAGGCCACGGGCGAGACCGCTCCTGTTGTGCAACTTGTATCTGCCTGCTTCTTCGCGCACCGAAGCTGGTGATATTCTTCAGGCTTGCTTTGAACATGTGGCTGCTTTGGGGGAAGATGCGTTGCTCATGGGTGATTTCAATTTAACTGAGGGAGACTTTCCCATCTCAGATGCTTTGGCGTGCGGCGCGATGCGATCTGCGAATGAGGCCATTCATGGTGATTCTCCCCCGCCGCCCACGTTTCGGGGCCCAGGTGGACACTATACCAGGTGCATTGACTTCGCTCTTCACACGGACAAGTTGGTGATTGACTATAAGCACCAGGTGGTGGGGCCGGCGGACCACGATCTTGTCTTCTATGACGTGCAGTTGGCCACTGACTGGCGGCCTGAGCCTTTTCGCATCCGGCCGCCCAGGCAAGTGGTGTCGGCGCAAGTGTCCGTTAAGGAGTGGAATGATGTGTGGAGCTCGCATGGGCAGACGTTTCATGACGCTCTTGGTCGCGGTGAGGTGGATGAAGCCTGGTCTGTCCTCAGTGCCGCGGCGGAGGATGTGATGCATGCGGGTGGCAAGGCTCGTCGTCGTGCTGAAGCGCCTGTTCCTGTCCGTGGCCTTCCCCCTTCTACCAAGGCCCCGACCGTTCAGACTTTGCTTGAGCGCCGTTTGCGGAGGCTCATGAGGCGAGTCGCCGAGGCCATGCTTCGGGATCACGACTCGGTTCACTATGGCAACCTTTTACGCAAGGTCTGGAGGCAGGCTGAAGGACATGGCTTTGGCGCCACGTCTCTCCCGGAATTGCTGGAGGAGGTGCAGAAAGCAGCTGATGCCGAGGCGCTGGAGACCAAGCAAAGACTGGTGGCTCAGTGGCGTGAGAGAATGGCGGTGGACATCCATCAAGTCTCGCGTTGGGTCACACGGGCGGCGCCACCGCCTTTGCACCGCGATGGTGAGTGGACTGCGCCGTTGGAGACCTCTGAGAAGCTGGAGCAGGCGCGTGAAGTTTGGGAGCGTTGGTGGGGGAGTGACGCCGACTATGACCATGAGGCTACGGCGGCCCTGTTGGAGAGCGTTCCTGCGGGACCTGCTTGTGCGGATGATGCGCTGCAGTTTACGCCGGATGAGTTAGCGGCAGTGGTCAAACGAAGGCGCAAGCGTGCCACAGGGCTGGATGGGTGGGCGGCAGCGCAGCTGACTTGTTTGCCGCGTGGCTTTTGGGTGCAGGTGGTGGAACTCTGGCAGGCCATGCTTCAAGTAGGGCGCGTGCCTTTGGCGTGGAAGCGCATCAGAATTGCTTTGGTGCCAAAGCCTGACGGCACTCAACGGCCCTTGGCTATTGGTGCAGTATTGTGGAGAGCGCTGGCCTCATTGGCTTGTAGACGCCTTCGTGACTGGGCTACTGCTGCTTTTCCTTCTGATATTCATGGAGGAGTTGTTGGGAGAAGCCTACATGGGGTTCATGATGCGCTGCTTCGGGATTTGGAGCGGACCCATGGGGGTAGATGCCATTTGTTGGGCGTCAAAACCGATGTCAAGAAGTTCTTTGACAGTGTTCGTCCACAGCAGGCTGTGGATGTGGCCCTGCATATGGGATTCCCTGGCGCGCTCGCCGCAGTGGTTCGCGACTTCTATGTGCAACAGGATCGCTTCCTTATGCTTGATGGCGTGGTCCACCCGAGGCCTATACGAGTGGCTTGTGGCTTGCAGCAGGGATGCCCTCTGTCTGTTACTTTGGTCAACTGCTTGATGACAGTTTGGCATGCTGTGGTCAAACAGGCGGCGCCCTCACTCACCGTGAAAATCTTCGTGGATGATCGCACTTGCTGGAGCTTGGATACTGATGCAGAGCTGCTTTTGACCGATGCTGTGACTGCTGGCAGGAGAGTCGATGCTGTGTTCAACCTGACTGTGCATCCCGACAAACAGGCCTCGTTTGCTACGTCCAAGGTGGCTCGGAGGCGATTGCAGGAGCGCACTGACATCCTAGGGCCTGTGGTCTTTGCTTTCAAGCTGCTTGGCGTGCACTATGTCATGAGGAGAGGTGGTGTAGCGCCGGATCTGCGGGCTCTTGACGACATGGTCTTGGTGCGGTGTGAGCGTATTGCCAAAGCTTGCAAACATGTGGGTAGGCGTGCCATCTTATTGCGGTCACTGGTTGTCTCGGCTATTGCATGGGCTGCTTGCTGGAATCGCTATCGTGTTCACACCCAGAAACGCTGGCAGGCACGTGTCGAGAGGGCTCTATGGGCTGGGCAGGTCCCTAAAGGTCGCTCCTGCATGATGGCGTGGGCTGCTATGGGTGGGCCGTGGCTGGATCTTTCTTTTGCTTTTGCAGCGGTGGTCATTCGTGCAGAGTGGAGACGACGGTCGGCAGTGCTCATGGGGCATCCGACGTCAGACGCGGCTAGCTCAGCTTGGGCCAAGGTTTGCGCGAGATGGGGCTGGGCGGATGAAGGAGGCATGGACGTGCACACCTTGCTTGGCACGTTTTCGCCGGCGTGGCACACAGTGGATGCATTTCTGCGTGCGGCTGTGCAGGCCTGGCACCAGGATCTGTGGAACGGCGATGGGCGCACAGGTGGAGCTGGGCCGCTTGGGAGGCGTGCCCTCATACTGGATGAGCATGTGAGAATCGTCAACCTCTCCTCGAGGGCGGCTTTTCGTGCGGTTACGGCTTCTGTGGTGGATGGACGGCTCCTTCAGCGCGTTGATGTCCAGACGCAGTGCAAGTGCGGGATGGAGGCGCCGCCCACTGAGCATATGGTTTTCGATTGTCCGCTGGCTCCGCAGGGCTTGGGAGATGGGTACACCAGGGCTGAGCGCAAACTTCTTGTGGCTGTGGTGCCCTTTGCTGCAAGGGACGGTGGCATGGAGGTTGAGCTTGATGATGAACTTGCGCAATTCATTCAGCTGGCGCGTGAGAACGGCGATTCGCTCTTCTGTGCTACGGATGGTGGGTGCTTGATTGCTGCTGGAATGGAGCACTGGCAGCGTGCGGCATGGGCTATTGCTGCGAAAGCGGGCAATCAGGAGATAGTGGTGCATGGATTGGTCCCGGGTCCCGAGCAGACCCCGGCCGCTGCCGAACGTCATGCGTTGGCTGTCTTGGCTGCGCACACCGCAGGCATCGCCGTCGAAGGTGTGGTGCTCACGGACAATGACGCTGCTGTGAGGCGCATTGCGCGTGCTGCTCGTGGTGATTTTGCTGGACCTTTGGCTGCGTTCTGGCAGCGTGTCACCGCGGGCCTCGGTGATTTGATTGTGCACTGGATTCCCAGCCACGGCAAGCGACCCAGTTGGATTCCTCCTCCGGGAGTTTGCGCAACGATGGCCCGGCGCTTCAATCGCTTGGCGGATGAGGCGTGCTCCAAACAGTTGGGTTTTGTCACTGATGGATGGCAAGTGGACGTTGCTGCGGTTCGGCGTGCGAGAAGGTGGGAACGAGCTGTTCTTGAACGTGCGATGGTGGAGAGCGAGCCGTTCGCCGTGCGCTTGCGAGAGAAGTATGGCGCCATCAGGGACGGCCTTCGAGCGTGAGCTTGTCGTATCAGTGGGCTTTCCCTGCTGTTTTTTTTTTGTGGGGTTGTGAGTGCATTTTCTCACTTTGGGATGGGCTTTCGGGAGGGATCGTTGTGATTTCTTTCGGGCGAGATCGTGGAGATTTCTGGCTCTTTCTTCTGCTGACGCCGGATGTATGGTGGCGACCACGTGGCGGCCTACCGCTTCTCGGTGATTGCCTTTTTGGCACTTTTGGGATGGGCTTTCGGGAGAGGTCGTTGTGATTTCTTTCGGGCGAGATCGTGGAGATTTCTGGCTGTTGCTTCTTCTGACGCCGGATGCATGGTGGCGACCACTTGGCGTCCAACCGCATCTACATAAGCACAGGTTGACGTCGCATACATTCTATTTCTATTTCTGGACTTGTTTAGTCGTGCTTGGTGTGTCGCCGAAATTGCAGAAGCCAGGCGTCTGTGCATGAATCAAACACTGAAGCTTGCGTCCAAAGCGACCATCGTGCAACGTGCATGCACATTAGAGAACTTGGACGTTGAGAACATGCGGGCGTCCTCTGAAGCAGACAAGGATTTAATACTCAACAGGATCAGAGACAGCACGGGCATTGACAAGTTCAACCAAGACTTGCACTCACTCATTTTTGATCCGAATTCTGGCCTTCTGGCATCTTGGCATGCCATGGATAGTTTGCAACAGATTGGAGAAGTCGGCCGGCTAATTCGCTGGGGTCTTGCTGATGCAGGCACCGGCAAGGTGTGGAAAGTATGGGAAGCTCATGAGTGATCCCTCTTCCCAGCTTGTGCAAACCTGTGTACAGCCCAACAGAGGCATGCTTGCTAACGCAATTTGTCGCAAATCTCAAGGGTCAGCCGAGCGTTCTCTCACAGCATTTTTGAATGCTGACTGTAAGCAAGTGAACCCTCCTAAGCACCTCCTGTGGTATACTGTAGCATACTACACGACCTCAAAGGGCTACATTGGGGAGATAGAAGGTGCGTAGTTCCATGTTCCCTGCCAAGAACGAGTAAGGAAACCTCCTGTAAACCCTAAATAATTGCCTCAACCCTCAACCCTCAACCCTCAACCCTCAACCCTCAACCCTCAACCCTCAACCCTCAACCCTCAACCCTCAACCCTCAACCCTCAACCCTCAACCCTCAACCCTCAACC